TCTTTTCAACTGAATGACAAAGTGACCAATCTGCTCCCAATCCCTGAAGGCCCGTCAGGAAACCGTCCAGGTCTTAGAGAAAAGGAAACTCCGTTTTAAACGCATCCTATATGACGAACAAGCACGTTTTGTCACGGAAACAAGAGAGCACAGCACAGAATGACTTCTGGAGCAGCGCGGCTGGGTTCGTATATTAGCTTTGCCACGTCGCTATATTCCAGCTGTGAGACCTCAGGCAAGTTGCTTACCCTCTCTGTGCCTGTGTTTCCCCATCTGTAAAAGTACCTACTTCACAGGACTGTAATGAGGACTAAATTCACTAATCCTATAAAACTTGAAACAGTGCCTGGCACATAGGAAAACATGCAGTAAGTAAGTGTTACTTAGCTAATAACACTGTTAACTCCCCCCCACACACACACAAACACACACAAACACACACACTATACGTCCTCTGACCACAGCATTAAAGTGTCAGTTGATTTTGTACCAGCAAATGGAAAGGGGAGTCCAGGTGCGAAGAAGTTTCTGCCACTGTAACAGCTAAGGTGTATTTCTATACAGCAAATAATAATTACACTGCCTTTGGCTAACTCAATTCCCATAAAATGGATAAAATTCCCATAACATGGAGTAAAATCTACTAAACTGTAAGGCAGTTCAAAAAGAGAAACTTAAAAACATTGCACGCTGAACTTTTGACCAGTGGAAGTTTAAATCAATATGCCAAGCCTAAACAGGGAGGCGTGCTTTCTCCACCTGGTCTGTGTGAGTTCCCAGCCACAGCCCCGAATTTCTCAACAGAACCGAAGGTAAAGGTTAGCTTCACCAAGCCCTGATATGCCACTCAGGGGCGTCCACCGAGCACTTGCTGAATTTAGGAGGCTTGCTTGGAGAGGGCTGAATATAAAACTGGGAAAGTAAACCCAGAGAGTCTTAATCACAGACTAAAAAGAAAAGTCTGGTTCCTGCGTGGATGGACAGCATGTCCAAAAGACACCCACTCTGGCCAGCGGCATAGGCCACCACTTTGGTGGGCTCCATCCCACCGCGACCCCTCCAGATGCTGCTGACCTTATCTCCTAAAGCCAAGTGTAAAGAACTACCATCAGATTCCAAGACGTCATGCAAATCCGCCCAGGCCCTGGGCTACTGGCTAGGCCACTAGCAGGGCTGAGTCTCAACGCATTAAACCCATTAACGACTCCCTCAGACACAGCCACGACCTCGTTCTCCAACAGATTACAACGCTGACCCTGAACTCAATCATCCATGCCCATCGGTTTTTTTTTTTCCCTTTTTTATTAAACGCCTTTGAAATGTCTCCCCCCCTCTCATGCTTCCTAATTTTAAGGACTCTTTTTAACTATGTTTCTGAATTGCAAGTCTCTCTGGTTAATTACTATTTACACTGTCCTCCAATGACTGCCCGGCTGCATGGTGGGAGCCAGAGACCCAGTGGAGCACACCTCTGGCAAAAGGCGGGGGTGGGCCAAGTAGGGAGAACGCCGGCGAAGGCCAGCGAAGGCCAGCGAAGGCCAGCGAAGGCCAGAGAAGCAAAGTGTGCACCCTGGGCTCCAGATTTTAGGGAAAGCTGCCCTGGGCCAGGAGTTCCTGCCCAGTGTGGTCTGTTTAAGGTTAAACCGGTTGCCGGTAAAACAATTGCGAAGTTCACACATTTGCCCATACACCCAGAATAGTCTTAATTAACTTATATATTAAAATGGCAGCATTTAAAAGATTTTTTTTTCCCTTCTTAAAGAAATCCACTATAACATTGCGGCCCGGCCAGGCGCTGCTGGGCAGTCCGGAAACGCGGTCCGGAGCCAGCTGCTGTATTTGCTATTTGCTAGTCCCGCCACCGGTCCGCGTG